GTGGGAGCTCAAGTTGTTGACATAAAAAACATTTGAGGAATGGTCCCTGCCAGGGTGACAGTCGCTTCTGCTGACTCCAGAGGCAGGAGTCTCTTGGTTCATCCTTCAGCGCCCCGTACAGTGGTGTCCACCCGCTCCAGTTGCTCAACGGCATCTCGCTTCTAAGCAACAAATGTTAATTATAGTGTTAAAATTCCCAACTCTGCAAAGCATCCACAGCCAAGCTCCCCAGAGAGGCTTGGCAGGTAGGCTTCGGAGCACCCATCACACCTCCTGCCAGGCAGCCTGCTGTGTCCTGCTGGCATGTTGGGGCCCGTGCGGACGGCGCACTGAGGGCAGGAGTGCTGGCAGGCTGGCCGGCACCTTGAACATCTCGCCTCTTAATCAGTGCTTCTGTCCCACCCGTCGGTGACACCGTGCATGTCTCCGAATGCCGTCAGTTCCCTCCTCCCAGTTGCGGGCAAGCCCTGGACGCTGCCCGGCCCGTCCCTCCCTCTGTTCCCGCACGGCACCATCCCTGTGATGCAGTGCTGAAATAATGCAGAATAAACCAATTTAAACCAGTAACTATTAATTTCTTCCCCGAGGAGCCTTTTGGACAACAATCGGTGACACCGTGCATGTCTCCGAATGCCGTCAGTTCCCTCCTCCCAGTTGCGTGCAAGCCCTGGACGCTGCCCGGCCCGTCCCTCCCTCTGTTCCCGCACGGCACCATCCCTGTGATGCAGTGCTGAAATAATGCAGAATAAACCAATTTAAACCAGTAACTATTAATTTCTTCCCCGAGGAGCCTTTTGGACAACAAAGTGATTCACAGCAGACCCAGGAGGAGTTGTGAGAGGTGGCGATGGGTCTTTTTGCAGGATGGGACCACTGAAAGCAATCAGTGAAGCAGATGAAAATATGACCAGGAATAAATGTGCTTAAAAACCATCAAGGTCAGGCGTGCTCAGAAGACCCAGGAGTGCTGTGTGGTAGGCACTGGAGCCATCAACGCCTTCCCACACTGCAGAGTGGGGTGTGTGGATCCAGGAGACACATGCTCTCCGTCTAGGATGACTTGGCAGGACATCTGTCCATACCAGTTCCACGTAGGTGAGAAGCAGGGTCTGCAAATAGAATAATTCCCTAGTGCTAATGGGCCATCAGTTTTCTCCATGCTCTCCTGTTTCAATGTGGATTTAGGTTGAATTTACCAGGCCTTGCTCTGCTTCGCTTCTGAAATCTGACCCGATCCCATCACACAATGATCGGAGTTTCGGCAGCGCTCCTCCCTGCCAGCTGTGCTGGAGAACAAGCAGCTGGTTGTGCCAAGCAGAGCAGCCTCGGCTGCGCGCCGGGATGGGAGGAGAATATTCCGTTGTACCGCTCTGCTGTGTCCTGTGTGGCTCGCTGCAGAGGTAAAATTACATAATAGTAGCAAGCTGCAGTGACTCACCATGCCGCTCGTGTGATTTACAGCGGCTCCCTAAACGATGTTTTTGCGCAGCATGCCACATAACCCATAATTGCAAACATGTGAGTAGACAAAAAGTACATTTTTCCAATTCCGCGTTATTTCGCATCAAGCAAGCTTTGATGACTAAAGCAGATGAAAATCTCTTTGTATGGGTATATTGTCACCTTTGATCCGATTCTTTTTGTCTTGCTGTCTCCCTCTCGACAAAGTATTTTCTACAAATTCTTTGTCTTACTGTCTTCTTTTTTTTTTCATGCTATCCAAGGATATTTAATTTTTGCCCTGTTGCAGCGTCTCTTGCCAAGATTAATACTCCAGCTGCCTGGAAACTCTGAATTCCTTTGTTTTGAATTAATTCTTGTCGTCTTCAAACGACTATACATCTTCTTTCCTATCTCTGTCTGATCTTTCAGAATAATTTTCTGCATATTTTAGCCAAACTTTTCTCACGGATACTTCTCCTCTTCTTTCCATCTGTTTGCTACTTCTCTGTCAGCTCCCTGTCTGTATTCAGCCTGCACCCCTCTTTCCTCTCTCAAATCTTTTTTTAATTTTTCTGTAGGCATCCTCATTTCTTGCACAGATTCTTCATTTATTAATTGCAAATCAAGAGATCACCTTTTCTGTCGTCCTCTCCTACAGGCAGGATCAGCCCCAGTCACTCCTGCTGGGTACTTGTGCAGCATTTTCTTCATTTTTTTTCACTGGTGGGGAATTTCACAGCTTCCCATCCCTTCGAGTTCAGTGCTGCGATGTTATTCTGGTAGGAAAAGCTTTTCATCTCTACAGGGAGTGTACGTTAAGGCAATTTAAGTCCATTGCTAATTGTCTTACCATAAAACTGGAGAACAGATTATCCTTTCTCCCCCCCTTCCCTGCTATCTTTTATGTGCATGAAGGTTGTTCTCTTTTCTGCTGTCAGTCTTTTTCTAGCCCAAATCCCCATATTTCCTTCTCTTTTCCCCCATTAGTCATGGTTCCTAGAACTTGCATTCCTAGGCAGCCCCGGTGATGTGCTATCGATGGGCAATTCCAGCTGCTGCCTGCAAGGTTTTGCTGTTTTGGGAATGCTTCTTGATCGCGATTTTCACATGTGAGCTTTGCTGCAGTGCTGCTTCTGCCCTCTCAAAGATTCTTGGGTTTGAAGATGGCAGTTGAAGACGAGAGCATGGATGTTGGGCGTTCAATACCCTCAACTTGCGGACGTAGCGTTGGAGAAGGACAGTACCTTCTTTGGTGTGGGGTGAAGGCTTTTGCCTTCAAAATTGCTTAGATTTGTCTTTCTTGAAAAACTTCAGTAGTTTTAAAATGCTCCAGTGAGTTATCTGTGAGTGTTCAACAATTTCCCTCGGGAAATTTGTCAGAGAAATGGGAGGAATGAATCCATCTGATTCAAAATCAAGAATCCTTTACTCATTGTAGTCATTTCTAGGCAGGGTGCATGAATTTAAGCAAAGTTGTAGCTGAAAGGTAACCCATTGAGCAAGCGCAGTGTGAAACCCGTGCTACGTTTATGGAAATCGTGTTGCCTTTTCTTTTTTTTTAATTATTTAAAAAAATACTACTTGTGTTTAAAAAAAGACTCGTGACATTTGAAACTCTTTTCCTAATGTTTTCCTGCCCTGCTGAAGTGTTTCTTCGTACAATTCAACTTCAAGAGGCCCTTGAGGATTTACCAGAATCAATCAGGGATGTATTCATCCAAGTGTGTTCCCTCCTACCTTTGTATTTCGTCATTATTTTCTTGAGTCTGGTGGTCATTGAGGCGTAAAGGTTGTGATCATTTGGAAGTGGTTATATCAAATTGGCACTTCTTTTGTGATATCACTAAATATCTTCTACGTACCGGTGTACGTATGGAGAGCTGGGGTTTGCAAAGGGCTGGTGAGTGCCGTGGGTCCATACACCAGTACCGGCTGCGGTGGGTCCTGCCCGCACCAGTGACAGTGTTGCTCTGGGAACTTGCTTCAAAACACAGCAAATAAACACATCTAGTTTTAAAGAGGTTATTAAGAATATTAGCTGTGCTGTTGCTTGTTAAATAAACACGTGAAGAATCCAAAGAGAATTTACAGCAGTGCTTGAGACCTCTTGGACTTGTCAAAATCATGTAAATTAAGGGAAGCAGAACAAAGCAGAACATGTTTGCTGGGTTGTGCATCCCTGACTTTGATAGCAGGAGGTAACTTTTACTAGTGAAACTTTAAAAGCAAACATACAAAGCCATTTTTTCCTTGAGAGAACGTGGTACCTACCATACTGTCTGGAGCAACATTTTACCTAAAACCTTGATCTAAATTCTAGTCTTTAGTGTCCTACAAGCTGTTACAGAAGTTTTGTTCATGCCAAAGGAAGAATAAAAGTATATCTGTGCATGGTCACAGAGAAGGCACATGCCTGGGATGGCCTAATAGGGTGATTTTTGGGATGTTGCTCTTCTGAGGGAGGCTGTCAGGCTGTGCTGATGTTGTTTGATGTGTCGCTGCTGTTCAGGTTGTCAGCCAGCCGATATGTCCCTCCGGAGCTGGGCTGGGTGTAAGCCTGCCCTGAGCTTCAGCTGCGGTCTTTCAACTCTGGATTCTGGGAAGAACATCCTCTCTTTGGAAATTCTCTCAGTGGGATTTAATAAAAGTATACCAGTGTTTATCCTAGCTCTCAGGTATTTTAGTTTGCTTCATTGCATCTATAATTTTTATTTTTTAGTTTATGACAGCTTTTACCCTTTTAAATTAAAGAGGCAGAAACATGTGAGGCTCTTGCTCTAGCCCTAATATATTTTTCAGCATAATTTTTTTTTTTTTTGCAAAGGATGTTTAAAATGTGCAAATGTGCTTATGTAGCTGTCCTCATCCCAAAATGCACTGATAAGAGTGCTGAGGACTCTCTGCTTCTCTTCTGAGTCAGCGGTGGCTGAGTGGGTGTGCGGACCATATGCTCTATCGGAGACGTTTTGGATGAAATGCTTTTAATAAAGAGCCTGTGGTATGTGATCTCTTCTGGTTTCAGGCAGGGGACTCTGCAGTTAGTTTGCAGTGATTTCTCCTTCTGTCACTTGGACCCTTGTGCTGTGAGCACCAAGTGTGTCCCCATAAAGCCAAATCGGCTCCAGCTGGGGCTGTCTGATGGCTGTACGGGGGCTGCTCCGGAGTTTCCTCGTGGGCTCCCATCCTGCTCCCATCCTACCGTGGGCTCCCGTCCTACCGTGGGCTCCCTCCGCTTCCTTTTCAAAGCGCTCTCGGTGCGTGCTGAGCTGTTTGAACAGATGGATCGTGTCCAGGCCACCAAGCCAGCCCTCCTCTGTTGGACTTCAAGAAATATCTTGTGATGTGTCTCATGCAAAGCATTGTAATAAAGAGTGGAAACAGAAAGGATGGTGTGTGTAGGTGACTCTTGCTGAGCAGGCGGGTGTGCTGGAAAGCCCTCGTGAAAGGCTTTGCGATTCTCCAGGTCCGTGGCGTGTTTTTAAGAGTGACGTGCGTACCTTCCGTCTCTGAATGTTCAGTTGCGTGTAATGTAGCTGTGACTGCTTCTTGTTTTTCAGGAGATGACTTTTCCTTGATACAGCAAGAAATATATATGGTTAAAGAATGCAAACATTGCAACATAGTCGCCTATTTTGGGAGCTATCTCAGGTAAACCTCACTTCTTCTATCTGCATTTCTGCTGGTTCTTTCCTAAGACAATGCTCGGTCTGGTTTAGCACTTACATCCTCTCTCAGCGTTCTTCTCTAGGTTGAATTCCCTTTGATTCCCAGTTGGCCTTAAAAAAAAAAAAAGTGACTAATACTTTGTTTTCTCTGCTGGCCAGAAGGCTGGAATATTTTTATCACTAGGAACAGAAAGAAACTTTTCCCCTAGAGACTCTTGCAACATATCCAATCCTGCTCACTTGTGGGGCAGATTTTAAACATTTATCACTTTTAATATAAAAGTAGCTCATTATTTATCACGAGCAGAATTTTATTTAATATTTTATTTAATGGTAGTCTTGCGTGCTGTGGGAGTATAGGCAGTGAGTTGTAAGAGCAAAACACTAAATCTGAGCTGCTGGTAATAATATTTTTCATCATTCTGGTGTAACAGATGCGACGTTCTGAGAGGCAGAAACAAGGTGATGCCAGCTGGCTGCATCTTCAAGTGCACACGTTAAATGTTATACAGAGAGCTGGGGAATATTTTCCATTTCTGTGGAACTCTGCCATTTATCAATTGGTTCGGTGGGAATATATATCACCGCTTTGCCTGTTGGGTCTTTTTCTATGAGGCTTCATCTTTAGGTTTCTTGGAGGGCTGCATTTTTTAAGTAATCTGTACAGCCCAAATGGACGTCAACTGGGACCAAATGGCTAAAATTCTAAATTTCCAGTACCCTTTTTGGAGGCCCTGTATTTTTAACAAAAAGTGATCAAGACCAGTAGAAAATACTTTAAATAATCATTATTAACCCTGTTCTGTATACAGATCAGTCAGCTTCTGATGCCTGTGTTTTCACTTTCTCTCGATAGCCGTGAAAAGCTGTGGATATGCATGGAATACTGCGGTGGAGGATCCCTCCAAGATATTTACCATGGTACTTGGAAACTTATTTTAACATTTCTACCTTTTGGAAGCTTTCTGCAAAGAAGAAAAATAAATAATAAGCAAACTAACGGGGAATGGTTGGTACTGGCTGGGCACTGAACATGTTTTTTCTTAGGGCATGAACAGTGTCTTTTAACTGCAGTCAACAGATTGTGTTGAGAGCACTTCTCAAATATGGTGTTTGTCATTTTGGGGTAATACTCTAGGGCAGAACATGCTTTATTTCGTTATTTTTCTCCACCATGCTGACCCAAAGAGCTTGAGATGTTCCAGTGGGAAGCTCTCCAGCAGCTGCAGTGGCTGTACGCTGGGAGCTCGCCCGGGTCTTGGCTCCTCTCAGCCCGTGTCTCTGAATGCCATGTGCAGAAGCAGGTTGTCTGCTTTCTGAAGGAGTGGAAAAAAGACCCCTGAAAAAATTCACAACCAGAAATCACGCTAATTGCATATGGAGACTGTACATGGTGTGAGGAAGCAGGTTTTTACTGGAAAATCTCTACACTTGATCCTTAAGGGGTAGGAAGAACTTGTTGTTCTTGCTGTGGTGCAGTACCGTATCACTCTTTTATTGTTATTTTCCCTCTCTGAGGTTTCATCTAGAGTTGTTGATTCTGCGAAGGATTTATTGGAGTTGTTGGAAAAGCAGTCTGGGGACTTGCTCTGCCTTTAAATGATAACAGGGAGTTTTCAAGTACCAGGACTCTTTGTGCTTTATTTTTCAGCCAGTTAGTACAAATAGCTTTAAAACAATTCAAAGTCTCATAGGCCCCTAGTAGAGAACATCGCTGTATCTAATATAAAAAAAAAATCAGCAGAAGTCACTCTGATTGTTTTTTACCTTCCTCAGAATACAGGATATTACATTACTACAAAATCACTTGTAAAATAATAATTAGATTTCTGTCAAAACAGGTTTTCTTCTCGCTGTGGGTATTGTCTTCTATTGTTGTGCTGGTTTTTTTACAGAAAGCCTTTCTGTAAAACCAAACAAACCCCTCTTTTCAGTTCACGTAAAATCGGTCTTGAACTTTTGCATGGACATACCACTTTTTTGGCTGCTTCACGTAATGTTTATGTTTTGTATATTGTAGACTTATGGACTTTTAAATCTTTATTTTCAGTAACGGGACCTCTGTCAGAGTTACAAATTGCATATGTGTGCAGAGAAACTTTACAGGTACGGTACTTCTGCAGGTATATGATGAAGTGTTTGCTCCAAGTACAGAAATAGATACAGAAGAGGATTTCAGAAAGTGCTGCAGTACCATCACTGACATTTGTAGGCACTGGGAATCTGGCTGAAACCAAAGAACCAGAGTTACTCTGTTAGCTTCCATATTGTAAAAAAAAAAAATTAGCAAGAAAATCCACTAATGTAGTGGAAATATTTGCTTAAAACCATTGCCAGAGCAGCTTCTGTGCTGTAATTTGCCAAGGAGTTCACACCAGAGTAGACATCTGTGCGGATCCCACTGCAGGACCAAAATGCTGAGCCTCTGTCCTGCTCCTGTTTCTTCGGTCAGCCGAAGTTTCAGGGAAACTGTGGCTAACACAGGGATTTAGTGCAGTAGTTTGGGAGAAATTTTTGAACCTTCTTGCAGAAAACAGCTCATACCTAGTGGGCAAGGGGTAAGTAGCCAAGTCATGGAGGGGAAAAAAAAAAGCACATTTTAAACTGCCTGCTTGATCTGGGGCAGTAAATTGTAATAATTTGTAGAGGAAAAACTCTGCAATGAGATGGCTGAAATTCTCTTTCATTTTGCGATTGCTAATAACTGTAGAAATACAGAAATAAGATGATGCAGGCAGCTTGTTTCTTAAAGGAACTTTTCTTTCCCTGCTCCTTGTATCCATGAATTACGTGAGAGGATCACGGGGATGCACGCCTCTCCCTGAAGCGGTGGCTTAACTGGCTGCTGCCAGAGGCAGGGGTGTAGACCCGTAAAAAAGAAAATAAAAATTTTTAAATGGCACTGGCTTTGTAGTGTGTTTACAAATGGCAAAATGATGTGTTGTGTCTCGTTTATTTCCAGGGTCTTGCTTATTTGCATATGAAGGGCAAAATGCATAGAGATATAAAGGTAACTTGGAACTTGGAGAAACTTATCTTAAACTTTCTAATACAGAAAAATATTCCTGATAAAGATGTTTAACTTTCTATGTATTATGTTTTAGGGTGCAAATATTCTACTAACAGACCATGGAGATGTCAAATTAGGTAAGTTGCCTGAATTGAATAATAAGACAGAAAGCAAATGGGAATGTTTTAATTTGATCGATCGAAAGCTACAGTACCAGCTGGGGTACTTTGATTTAGCAAGTTACTTTTAGCATTCCATTAAGACAAAAAAATAATCAGAATGTAGAGACCATGCCTTCCAAGAGGAGTATTCAGCTTTTGCAAGGCTTTGTTTTGCTTTGAACAGAACATACACAGCAAAGATGGAGCTTGCTGCAAATGATAATACAGCAGATCTCCTGTGTTGTTGCAGTCGGTTTATTAGATTCTGTTCTCTGTGGCATGAACCTTTTGGTGTTGCACTGTAGGATGTTCTTATTCTTGTTTGGGACAATAGTTGATGATAGAAAGTGCATATCCATGGGCTTGTGTACATACAAGTTTTGCATTCCATCGAGAAGTTACAGATAATTTATTTTTTCAACCACCAAGCCTTGAAGCCTCCCGTGTTTCCCTGGAACTGGCCAGGTTGGGGTTACCTGGATATCAACGGGTTTGTTCCGAGCCACGATGGCAGTTCTCCCTCCGACCCTCCAAGGATCCGCTGTGTGAGACAGCGTTTCCTGAGCCTGGCAGCCTGTGGAAAAGTGGGGATTGATCCTGGCTGTGCCTCTAGCCCAGTGTATAACGTTGGGCATTTCCACGCAGGTGGAGAAGAGGAAACTTTCCTCCTCCGCAAGTGCTCTGAGGTCTCCAGATGAAAACCCACAAGAGATCTGTATTAACTGCCTTCCTCCAGTGATGTTTTGCATTTAGCGGGGCACAAACAGGCTGAATCTCTTGTTATCTGAGTGTGCTGCCTTCAAAACCCAACGTTTACTCCCCTGTGGTGAACCAGGAGTGCTGTGCTAGGACAGGACGGCTTTTTAAAGAAGAAGAAGAAGAAAAAAAAAAATAAAACCTTGAAACTCGTAGGAGCTTCCACTAAATGCATTTAAGTTGGGTTATGCACTGATACCTTCCTTTTTGCCTGCTAAACTAGTTAGATTTGCCCTCCAGCTATCATACTACAAATGCTATAAAAATAAGAAGAACTGAAAAGATTTTTGGCTCTGCAAGACCACCTGATTATCTGCAGCTCTGAGAGCAAGGGGTGATTGTCCCCTAGACAGTCTCCAGAAATGAGAACAGATGGCCCCCCGCGTTTCCTCCATGAGTAACATAGGAATAGTCCTGCTTCCAAAGCATGATGCTATTTTTCCTCTCGAATATTAAATTAAATGGCCACTAAATTTCGTGAGGTTGCTTGGTTGCTGTATTGTGAGATGGAAAAATAGCTGGGAGAGGAACAGGATTCATGAGTGAGCTGTGTGTGGAAGCTAAGCTTTTCAATTTGAAGTTGTGTCAGTGAAGACATTAGCTGATCTCCTTATTAATCTTCAACTGAAGCTTAATGAATTTTAAATTTGAATGAGAAATGGGATTGTTCTTTCATAATATAGTACTTCCTAGCATAAAATGAAGTCTTAAAATGAGATTTTCTAAGTCTGTGATAATTTCATTTTCCAGCTGACTTCGGTGTAGCAGCAAAAATAACAGCCACCATTGCGAAGAGGAAATCGTTTATTGGTACCCCTTACTGGTGAGAAACTGCTTTGGTTGCTATGATTGTGTGCAAAGCTAAGTCTGTATTTATGCCAAGAATTCTAAAATCCACACGCTGAAGTATACACACATATTCTAAAATATATATAGCAATTGCATAAATTCTCTTTCATTAATTAAAATGCCTAAAACGTCTGGGAGGCACTGATTGTAGCTTATCTGTTCCTGTAACAGAAGCTACCTGATATTTGAGGCAAGATTGCTGTTTCTAACAAATTTATTAATGCAGAACATTCTCCCCTTTGTCTGGATACCTCATGGTCATTTAGTTTCTCAGTAACTTCTTACGCTTTTAGTGAATAAACTAAACAATGTCTTTGCAATTTCTGTGCAGCAAGAATTGTGAAAAAAACCAGATTTTAAACTATCTTTTAATCACCTCTACTGATTAATGTCTGTGCGAGGCAACACTGAATATGCAAATAGATCACTGTAAATCCTGAGCTGCGTTATGTATGCAAATTCAGCTGCTGTTAGTTTCCAGCATTACTGTGATGCAGTTCAGATGCCTAGGGCGGTATTCTTCCTATAGACTGAACACATATGTACAGCTTAATCCAGACAATGGCTTTTAATTGTTCGCTGTCCTCCTTATCCTGTTGGGGAAGGAGGACTGAGGGCAGGCAGATTAGCTGGTCATTAAAGCATTGCACCAGGAATCATGAGACTGGTTCTATTCCTAGCGCTGCCGTCCAGCCCGTGACCTTGGGCAAAACACATCACCTCTGTGTGCTTCTCCGCTCCCCTAATGCTGGGTGAGGGGAGGAGGGGGTCGGGCTTTTCCCTGAATTATGTTTTTTGGGGGGGTTTCTGCTCTAGGGTTACGTGCCACGCTTTGTGCCGCCCGCGTGCGGGCACTGTTCAGCTGGTGCTCTCAATGAACGATGCCTTTGCTTTTAAAGGATGGCCCCAGAAGTTGCAGCGGTGGAAAAGAACGGTGGATATAACCAGCTCTGCGATATCTGGGCGGTTGGCATAACAGCGATTGAACTCGCCGAGCTTCAGCCGCCCATGTTTGATCTTCACCCGATGAGGTCTGCTGGCCAGGGACCTTCCTTACCTCCAGGACCCTCTTCAGCCCCTGCAGGGACTGTTCTGATATAGCTTAACCTGCTCGGTAGCTCAGACCTGGAAACTCGCGCTAGGATTCCTTCATCAAACAGCTGCTTTCTGCGTGAGCTGTGTCTGTTTTTAAAACATCAGTCTGAAGCTAAATTCTTAAATTTAGAAATGAAACGATAACCAAATTTTTAAATATTTTTATTCCAAAACTTCACAGTGTCATCAACAATCTGATTAAGAACAGGTAGAGATTTACTGTCCAGTGATAGTAAATCACTAGAGAAGCTGGTGCCTTCTGTTTAAAAGGATTATGCGTGGCGATAAAAAGATTTTATTTAAAGATAAGAAAATCAACAGCTTTACTGTGTCTGTCCTCTAACACAGTATAGACTATAATCCAGTTTCACCAGTATGATTCTTACCATGAAAGTGTTAAAGTGTTTAGATATTAGGATGAAATTAATTATTTTTTACAGTATAATAACATTATTTTTCATTTACCTTTAGGGCTTTGTTTTTAATGTCAAAAAGTAATTTTCAGCCACCAAAGCTAAAGGAAAAACCAAAATGGTAGGTTAAACTCTTTCCTTTGTTCAATATTTTGTAGATAATGTGAAAAAACTCTTTGTCATTGAGGAGGGGAGGCAGTGAAAAATAGTGTGTGCTAGTTTTAAACTCAGGAACCTGAGAGGTGATTTCACGTACAGGAGTTTCACTGAGAAACAACTAGTTGTTTTTTATAGGTGTCTGAAAGCAAACAAGAGGGTTAAGGTCCAGCAGCAGGTATTTTCTGACATGCCAGAAAACCAGCAGTGTGGGACAGGACAGCCCTACCTATGTAAATCGATCCAGAGGGAAATGAGATCTCTCTTCTTCGATCCTCTTTGTACATTCCAGGAAAAAAAAATATATTTTTATCCTTTAATTCCAATTATAGGGCATTTGCCACTGTCAGTTCGACAGGTAATCGTTTAATCCTTCCATCATTTCTTTAACCTGTGGTACCTTCCCAGTGCCTGCAGGATTTGGTACCACACTTGCTAACATTGTAATTCTGAGACTCAAACCAATTCTGCTGTGCAGGATTTTTTACTCATGATGCTGCTGTACAGTCTTGAGGTGTTTGGGTGAGCAGATGTGCGCTACAGGAAGGGAGAAAACACTGCTAAGTGTATGTTTCCTGTATTGAAACTGCTCGGTGTGACCCCAGCCAACGCACTTCACTGCTCCAGTGCCGCCTTCTCAGATGCTGAGACTAGCAGAGGAAATGTGTTTTGTAACGTGACTTGAAATCAAGCAGCCTGGGGCTGATGCTGTCCCCAGAGAGGCACACTGACAGAAATACAACTGAGAGAAAAATGCTGGAAAAATTGTAGGTCCAGTTGTAGCATCAAGTCATAATTCGGATCTAAAAAGAGGTGATGTGACACAGTCACCGAGTTGTTCTGAAAATAATAATAAAGCATTTTGAACAGTAAGTTGAGGCTTTGTCTAGAACTTTGTATTTTATTTTCCTGCCTGTAGCCAAGAACAGTGAACTTGGCAGGTTTGCCTAGATCTTGAGATTGCTGGGTATATAATTCACAATTTTTATTTCTAATACCTAATTCCATAACGATTGAAAATGGAAAAAGTTGAAGTAACACTGTATGTGTTTGGTTTATTTTCTCTACCAAAACTTTTCTATGCAAGTTGCATGAATCAAATGTTTTTTCCCCTGTTTTGTTAACTTGGTAACGTAATTATTCAAACCTGAGCTGAGATACTTGGACAGCATTCTAATTTAGCACACCGATTTCCAATTTGTTTAGTAACTGTGTTAAAATAAAAAATATCTTTATAAAAAATAATAAAAATATCTTTATATCTTTAAAAAATTGAACCTAAAACCTCATTTTTCTTTAAGGTCATCAACATTCCATAATTTTGTCAAAATAGCACTTACAAAAAATCCAAAGAAGAGACCAACAGCAGACAGACTCCTTTCTGTAAGTGACTTGGAACATTTAATGACATCAATGAAAGATCTCTTGCTTCAAAGTGAGCAACAGATCAATAGAAAACCAAACTGGAAGAATTTTCTTTCTCTGATCTTACAACATGGGTGGTGAAATCTGAAGGAAAGAGACATTGGTCAGCTGTAGGAAGTAGCAAGATTTTGTTCAGTAGCAAGATTTTTATACAATTTTGGTAGGAAAAATGACAGAAATGTGCCTCATGCTGTTTTCAGCCTGTCCTTCCTGCAAGTGGGTGTTTCATCCTCTTGGGCTTAGCCTCATAGGTGTTGACCCTTCCTGTTACCCAAATAGAAAATGGATGTATTTAGTAGTTCTTGTGTCTATTTCTGCCTTCCTGAACCTGGCTGAACTACTCATGTTAAAAAACTGAAGTTAAGGTGTAACTGCTTGACTCAGAGTTTAACTTCCAATTAATAAATGGCCAAAAGTGTGGCATTCCCATGCTTACAGAGGGGTTAGGAAGTCTAGTGATCAAGGAGCCATTAAAGAAATAGTCAAGCCCCCAGAAAACAGAAATAGCCCCCGGAAAACGGGCAAAATTCAGTGACACTCTATATTGGATGTTTTTTAATGAACGTTACACATCAGTTGCATATTGTAACTTGGTTTTTTTCTGTGGTTCTAGCATAGCTTTGTAGGGCAGCCTGGTCTCTCAAGATCTTTAGCAGTTGAGCTGTTGGACAAAGTTAATAATCCTGAGAACCATCCACACTACAGTGAAGTTGATGATGATGATTTTGAGGTGAGAACATCTGATATTTTTTGTCTTTTTTGAATACTGTGCTTTGATTTGGGAATGTAAGATTGCAGTTTGACAGGCTCACTGCCCCAGCATTTTCAGAGCTCCGTTTTTAGAGCTGCTGTGCGGAGAAGCCTGGAAATACTGCCCCAGCGTTTGTCCCGCTTGTGCTGTGGGTATATAGGAAGATCCTGTGCACGGGTTGTGCAGGACTGGGACAAAGACGGTGCGTGTCACAGTGTGTGACTGCAGCAGCTATTCTTTCCCTTTGTTGGTTTGATTGTTGATTGAGACCCAACAGAAAGCCACACGACTTTTCTCAATTTTCTGTTTATAACCCTTACAGCCTCACTCCGTTATCCGCCATACAATTCGTTCTACCAACAGGAACATTAGGGCAGAAAGAACGGCGTCGGAGATAAACTGTAAGTTCCTAACGTGCTTTGCCCGGTTTGTGGTGTTGGTTTGCTTCTACCCATGGAGGACGTTGGTGTCATTCTTTTGTTGTATACTCTGGAAAGTCTCTTCTGCTGTTGGCACATTTGCGAAACAGAAGAAACGGCACATACACGTGGATCTTCAATAATATTTTTCCAAAACCAAAATTAATACTTGCATATTTTTCTGCTGTTTCATTCCATCTCATTGCTGCATCGTCATGTTTACATGGAAACCTTGCATGACCAGTGTAGCCTTCCAGCTCTGCAATTTCTGTCGGACCATGCAGCCTTAATTAAAACAGCAAAAGCACTAATAACACGCAAACATAAAAAAATAAGAGCGAGTTGATAATTAGGAGGGCATTTTTTCACATGAGTACATTCGGTGTCATGGTGTGATGAGAAAATATAGAAAAAAGTAGCATTTTGTGTTTGGCTGCACATTGTTTCAAGTTCATAAGTGAAACCATTTCTTGACCCTGATGGAGCACTTGTGATTGCACCAGCTGTCCTGATAGGGGTGTGTTTTCTTTTAATATAAGAAAAATTTTCTTTTCTTTTAAAATAATATTAATATAGAACTCAGTTGGGTCTAAGTTGAAATTATGAGGGTAGAAACAGTCTTCCTCTAGGTTTGGACAAATGCCTTTTGTACTGTAAATGGTATCCACTCCTCTGCATCACGTACGTGACGCTTTTCGGAAAGCGTTAAAAAGCCTCTCACTTCTCTTTCACATGCATTAAAAGTAACGTGTGGTTACCTAGTTATGCTTTGGTGTACCTTCATATAATGACTTGGTATTTACTTTTGGTCTGTTTCTTTCTTGTGGGTTTCACATTTGCAAATTGAAGCATTTAGACAATAAGTGATAGTCATATTTTATAGGCAAATTAAGTGTTGTGTACATAATATTTAAATGTGTTATGACGTGTGTTTCACTGCAGTGAATGCTGGAAGGGCACTAGTCTAATGTTGTGTGTATTAAAGTGGAAAATGTAATGTTTTGTAGTTGATAAGCTGCAGTTTGAGCCCCCTCTGCGGAAAGAAACAGAAGCTCGGGATGAAATGGTAAGGATGAGTTTGGTTTTTTTCTTCATTTATTGAAATTATAGTGTCTTCATTGTTTTGTGGTTCAACTCTAAGTAATATGTCTCTGAAGTATCAGGTCATGAGAAGACCACTCTTGGGCCCCAGACAATTGCCACATTTTTAAGAAAATGAATTGCCTTCTATGCTTTGAGCGGGGAGTCGTGCTCTGATGAAAAAAAACGACATGTGCCTATTAATTTGATAATGTGAAGATGCCGTTCTGCATTTGAGTCCCTGATCTTTCCATCATCGGGGTTTATTTGCTGCTTGTTTGTTGGAAGGCGGTCAGCTCGCATGCAGCCGGTTTTTCCCCTTGTGAGCTGCTGCTGTTTGTTCCAGCCCTCGGCAGTTTGTGCAGATCAGCTAATTAACGTTCTTCAGGATTACTATGTGCCTGTGTACACAAGGGCTCCGGTTTTTAATAAGTGTTGGGAATAGCAGCAGCTGCCGTTAATTTTGATTTGGAGACGATAGTGCTCAGCACTCCAGAAAAATCCCACTCCGGTTTTTTACAGCTGTAATTCCAGTTCGCCAGGTAGGTACAGGTTAATCTTTGTTTGAATGGGACTGATTAGATCTGTACACCTTGTTACCACTGAGGTCCCCTGGGTGCAGTGTCTGGTGACACAGGAATGCTCCCAGCCTCTGCCGATGGCATCTCGTAGGAGTTTGGAGGTGGCTGCAGTACATTCCCTTGCTAGAAGAGTGTCTTGGAAGTGCCCTGAGTGGAAAATAGGAGTTTTCACCATAAATTTTTGCTTTCATGTTACTTATTGCCACTTGATACCATTTGCAGGTGCTGCTTTTAAGTTTCAGTCTAAGAAAAAATAAGACATCTTTTCAATAGTTCCTTTATAATTAGATTGTAAAATATTATTTAACTTTCACAATTTTATTTTGGTGCTTATGGGTCATTCTGCAGGGCTTGGGAATCTCCCAGGCCTCTTCATGTGCTGTGGATAAGGTACTTCAGTTTAACAGGGAAGAAAAATGAAAATTTCTTCATCTCCAGGTTGTGGCAGCTGGCACTGACTTTGCTTCACATTGGAATCCTTTTGTTGATGGTGGAAGCAGCAAGTAAGTAGCGAGTTTAAAAACATCTTGTATTTTTGTGACTTGATACGAAAATACACTCTGAAAGAAAAATTGAGGTATGGTGGAAGATCAAACCGTAAGCCCCAATCCACTTTAATATTCATAAATTAAAGGAGATTTTACCCAGAGTGCAGTCCTCCTCCTGCAATTGCTTAGTCACTCTTTTGGGGAATGGTTTTTAATCTCTTTGAACCACAAACAGTAGTTTGCTTGAAATTTGTTGTAGCTCCCCAGTTGTAGATGGAAAGCGAAGTGTAAATGCACAGCCAGCACACAGAAATAACGCAGCCAAAATGAATTTTCTAAAGCAAAGCTGGTAACCTTACAAGGGCTGAGTTCAGGATCCGGCGCTGGGCTTGCACGTCTCTTCGGAGCCGCGGCTGCGGTTGTGACATCCTGTGGCAGAGCACGTTGGCGGGTCCTTGCAAGAAAAGGAAGGAGAAGGCAGTTCTGAAGATTTAGTGTTACCAAGTTCAGTACGACGGCTTCTGCTGCGGGCGTCCGATCAGTGTAATCGACAGTAGAGTCAGGCAGTGTTCTGGGATGTCAAGTTCAGTATGACGGCTTCTGCTGCGGGCGTCTGATCAGTGTAATTGACAGTAGAGTCAGGCAGTGTTCTGGGATGGAATGTTTTAGGTAAAGATATGCTGTAACTGATTTCCCCTGGGATAAAGCAGGGCTGAGGTGAGGGAGCACGACTCTGTCCAAGTTAGGACTGAATTTAATTTGCTGCAAACTACCGGAATCTGCCTTTAAAGGCAATCGTTGAATTTGCAGCGAGGAATACGGCAGCTCAGCCATACTGACTGATGCACA